TATTCCTGTTCAGTATGAGACAGTTCCAAGCTACGAAGCTGAGCCAGGAAAAAGATCACCTTAGATTCTAAACAAGATTTTCTGGGGAGCAAACTGGAATGCTATCACCTTCAAATCTTTCACTAGGTTGACATTAACACTCAGACGTGGAGGTGCTGGCTTATTTTCCTGTGAGGGATTTTTGTGGTTTTAATTTGTCTTTCAAAAAACTTCCTGTAGCAAAAGAGATCATTTTTCACCTGAACAAAACAGCAGTTGTCCTCATAACAATTACCTGTCCCAGAAAGAGATGAGCTTCTTTGTGAAGTTCAAGACCGCAGTTCATTGGGAGGACAGGCTTATATAAACGTCGTCATGTCAACAACTGGGCGACAAGAGCTTTAGGGAATATGAGATGAAGTATTATGGTCTACATTCTTCCAAATCTTAGCCTCAGGCAATCTGAAACATTTTTTTTCACTGAAACCTTTTTAGTCTCTCTCAGTATTAAACCTCTCAGCATTTGGTTGAGTTTATACCTGGTAGAGAGCAAGATTGTAAATAATAAATGAAGAAGAAACAGCTTACTTTATGACAAACAACGTTCCTTTTAATGCAATCACTGGTTTTAAAATTGTGGAATGCATCACCAATAAATAATTACCTCTGAAAAACATTCTCCTGTGATAAATAGAATCCATTTGAAGCTCTCCATACGCGAGTTACATGGACAGACATTAAAAATTCTTGCATAGTTCATGTCTTTGCTTTATGGTCCAGTAGTTCTTACTGTTTGATGTAACCGACTACTCCCAAGTGAGTGGCAAACAGTAAATGTAAATTACCACCGTTTAAGAGACAGCTTCGGCAGACACCTCCAACAACTAGCGCGAATAGAGTAGCAAAGAAAATTAGTCATTGTTTGTCACTTAAACATGGATTAAGAAATGGATCTCCTTTACAACTGCAGCATTAAATGCTGATAGCCAACCTATTGTCACAATAGTAAACATTTAAAAAACGAGTAGAGTCAGCCTTAATATAACAAGCTTTTGGTCTAAGAGGGGTCCAATAGCTGCCGTCTTCTCGTGCTCTTTGACTGCAATGTGCTTTTCGAAAAAGATATGCTTCCTAATTCAGTGAGTGTGTAACTGTTTACATGTTGTGAGTGAAAAGGCATTAACAGGTTTCCTTGAGTCTAAAAAAAAGGAGAGTATAACATTTAAAGATAACACAGTGTGGAGCTGGAGGAACACCGCAGGCCAGGCAACATCAGAGGAGCAGGAAAGCTGACGTTTCAGGTTGTGTCTGAAGAAGGGTCCCGACCCGAAATGTCAGCTTTCCTGCTCCTCTGATGCTGCCTGGCCTGCGGTGTTCCTCCAGCTCCACACTGTGTTATCTCTGACTCCAGCATCGGCAGTTCTTACTATCTCAGAGTTTAACATTTATTGTATTTAGCCCAGTCTAAGAAAAAGAATAAAACATGCTGAATTTCACAAGGACACAAATAGATTTCAGAATGGGAGGATAGACTAAGCAGAGTCCAATGAAGTTAATCGGATTTCACACTTGATGAAGGCAGATATAGATGGACTTCTTTTGCAAATTGCATGATGTGCGAGAGAGACAGAGACTGAGACCAAGACCCATACTGAGCATTTACTCCTTCAGCGGTGAATCTGCTCCTCCTCATCTGCAGAAGTGTTTACATCTTGGCTTGTCATGTGACCTTCTCTCTGCAAATCCCCAATCACCCCTAATATGCTTTGGGTACTGTGGATTCGGGGTGCCTGGCTTAGATGTTTGAATTAAGTTTGGACACATTCTTCTCGTCGCTCAAATCCCATTTTCCTTCTTGAGCTTGACGGCAGGCAACACTAATGCCACAATCTCTCTCATGGGTTGGGCAATGAGGTAGGGTTCCAAATCCACTCCAACATATGAACGGGGATTGAACCCCATGCCATTCACTCCAAAACTGATCTTCACTGTCCACCCAGCCACACCCCTGCCCACAAACACACACACCACACACACACACCACACACACACACACACACACATACACATACACACAGTCAACATTGCTGTGGCATCGTAGCCTGGAGCTATGCAAATCGCATGGATAACTTGTAATGTCTCCTGAATGCATTGCCTGTGTTAGTGTAGTTTGGAAGTATTTACAATATTTACAAGTTGATGATTGACCTGTTTGGCTGTGATATGAATGCATTTTTCTTTGCCATCGTGTCCTAGATTGGGAGTTGATAGCAGAACTCCCGACCAGAAGCAGGGAGCAAGATGGAGGCAGAGTAGGACTCTCCAGTCAGAGCTCCTCTGCTTGCCAGTTCCTTTTCATTTTCTTTCTTTTTTTCTCCTCCTTTGTAGTTTTTCTCTTCATCCCCCCCAAACTTTTGACTACTCTGCCCTACCTGGAGAGTGGAGTCGAGGGAGACAGATCGCAGCCGGAGCCCGAGTGGGAGCTGAATGCGTGGGCCAAATCCTGCAGCAGAGTGAGTAGGCCGATTTGCGGGCCAAGTCCTGCAGCAGCAGTGACGGAGCGAGCACGGGCCAATACCTGCAGCAGAGTGAGTAGGCCGATTTGCGGGCCAAGTCCTGCAGCAGCAGTGACGGAGCGAGCACAGGCCAAGTCCTGCAGCAGTGACGGAGCGAGCACAGGCCGAGGCCTGCAGCAGTGACGGAGCGAGCACAGGCCAAATCTTGCAGCAGTGACGGAGCGAGCACAGACCGAATCCTGCAGCGGTGATGGAGCGAGCACAGGCCAAGTCCTGCAGCAGTGACGGAGCGAGCATAGACCGAATTCTGCAGCAGTGACGGAGCGAGCACAGACCGAATCCTGCAGCAGTGACAGAGCGAGCATAGGCCGAATTCTGCAGCAGTGACGGAGCGAGCACAGACCGAATCCTGCAGCAGTGACAGAGCGAGCATAGGCCGAATCCTGCAGCAGTGACGGAGCTAGCACAGGCCGAGACCTGCAGCAGTGACGGAGTTTGCACAGGCCGAGGCCTGCAGCAGTGACGGAGCGAACACAGACCAAGTCCTGCAGCAGTGACGGAGTGAGCACAGGCCGAGGCCTGCAGCAGTGACGGAGTGGGCTGAATCCTGGAGCAAAGATGGAGCAGGCCAGAGCTGGAGCAGTGGCTGAGCCAGTCCTAGACAGGGGTTGGTACGCGGAGGCAGTGTGGCCTTGTGTTCTGGGGCCAGCGGGCACGGACTAATGTTGGAGAGAGACTGGAATTTGAGTACTTATGGTCACTGTTATTATCATTATGGACTCTTTAAACTGTGTAAATGTTGTTAACCTTTTTTTTAAACTCTGTAATGACACTTAAAGTATCTGTACTTAGGGTACTCTTGTACCTAAGATGACGCCAAAAGCTGATATTACAAAATTTTACTGGACTCATTCCAATGCATGAGACAATAAAGGCTATTCACAAGGGCTCCTTCAGAGCCCATTGTCCCAGTGATTATGTCCAATGGTCTGCCTCCACATAGGTGAGGATTCAGGTGATTATTTGGATATCTAATGCATAGGAGATGAAACCCTATTCATAATCCTTCAAGGCAACTGTTCCAGTGAGATTGCAGAGAAAATGGACTCTACTTGATGATCTTAGAAGGTAGAGTAATATAAATATACAGCCATCTTTGACTGTGTTGTCAGATCTATTGTCTCACTACCAGGTACGCCAACATATAGGCCAGCCAAAAATGGTAACTGAAATACTTAGTAGATAACACCATCCACTCTATCCACTTCTCCGAAGAATTCCACAACATCGTCAAGGACACCAGAATAGAAGAGGAAGAGATAATGATATCCTTTGACGTAACAGCACTGTTTACATCCATAAACATCGACCTGGCCAAAGAGACAATTGCCACACTGCTGGACGAATCAGGAAGGCAGACACCCCACAACACCAATAGCACCAACAAGGACAGCACCCTGAAACTGCTGGATCTGTGTCTTACAACCCACTTCACCTTCAACGACTGTATATTCAAACAAATCAACAGAACATCAATGGGATCCCTGATATCAGGACTGAAAGCAGAAGTGGTAAGGCAAAGATTAGAATAGACAGCGCTCCCCCCTATCCAACCCAAACTCTGAGTCCGATATGTAGATGACACCTTCGTGATTATCAAATGCACAAGACTAGAAGAAATCCACCGACACATAAACAGCATCCTCACAGGAATAACATTCACAAAAGAAGAAGAGAACAATAACGGACTACCCTTCCTAGACGTAATGATGGAACATAAGAACAACAGGGGACTCCAGACCAACATATACAGAAAGACCAAGCGTAGGGACCAGATACTTAATTACACCAGCAACCACCCCAACACCCATAAACAGAGCTGCATCAGGACATTACTCAAATGAGCTACAACACACTGCAGCAACCTGGAATTGCGCAAAGCAGAACAGGAGCATTTATATGGAGTTTTTAAAAGGAATGGATGCCCAAAAAGCACAATCTGCTTTTACCTCCATGACAGACCACAACAAGAAGACACAGCACGGTCAGACACACTAGTCAGCCTACCGTACATCAGGGACATATCAGAGATGATCACAAGACGACTCAGACCCCTAGGGATCAGGGTAGCCCACAAACCAACGACCACCCTGCGACAGCTACTGATGAATGTAAAGGATCCCATACCCACAACCAGTAAAACCAACGTAATATACAAAACACCCTGCAATGACTATGAGAAACACTACATAGTTCACACTGGAAGAAAACTGACAATAAGGATACACAAACATCAACTAGCCACCAAGAGACATGACCAATTCTCACTGGTCTCAGTATACATGGACAAAGAAGGACACAAATTTGTCTGGGACAACTCATCCATAATAGCACAAGCCAAACAGAGACATGCCAGGGAATTCCTGGAGGCCCTGGTATTCCAACCAGAACTCCATCAACAAACATAGTGAACTGGACCCGAAATACAAACCACTGAAAAACAAAACCAGAAGTGATGGCAACCATCCCAGCAAACTGAGGTATATAAATAACAAGCGGGAAAGAACACTAAAGCTTCCCTGGAGACACACTGAGGATGTTACCTACTCAAAAACCTTAGGGTGACGAAACGTTTACAATCAAACACACAGGCTTGGTGAGTAAGTCTACAACCTCATCATTAACTGTCATTTCAATTCTCTGGAATGTGGCTTTGGTCTTTTGAAAAATTCAATTACTCTGCAGTGGTTTCCAGCTGGAAAGCTCATCAAGTCACTTTTCAGAAAGCATGGTTTCTCAGCAATGTTTTTGGTGATGTTTTGTGCGTATTTAAGTGGAGAGTGCTATTAATGGATGATACAAAGTTTTCTAGTCTTTTGAGTCCAAGGGGAAATTTTCCTACAGAAGCATATTGAATTGGTGTATCGTAGTGAATAGTAAGAACTTAGTAGTCTTGGAGAGCATGCCTTTAAACAATGTCACCTTTTTTTTTCTTTTATTTTAAGTCATTGAAAGAAAGCCAGGCATGTTTTACACTCTAGCTTACTCAACGTTCTATTTGCTGCATCTAGATGATTAGATGGAGGTAAATACCCCCTCCCTTTCCAGTGTCTAGTGTCAGTGGCTAATATTATAAAATGAGGTGAAATACACATGTAGAATAAAAGCTGTCTCCATTGATGCTCAATGATAAGTTTTAATCCCTAAGATCAAACACTCCTTTTACACACCCATGAATGTTTTGCATTAGATACTATAGCTGTGCTTGTGGCTTCTATAGATGGGATTGCTAAATTAACTGAAAATGGATAATGTCATGCAGTGTGCTTCCTGGTTTATCACTGCTGAAATCTTTTCATTTAAACTTAGAAGCTTCTCGGGTGACATAAAAACAATGTTTGCTCATCCTGTGTGGAACTCAGAGTCGTAAAGACAATCACTGGATCCACAAATAAGATTTGAATATTTTGAATGCGGTCTCCAAAATGGTTTATTTGTACACCTATGTTTTGTGCTTGGAAAGATACAAATTTGGAGAAGATGTTTTCTTTGGGTTGACAGTTTTGAATTAAAATTTACAGTTTCAGGAAAAATGTTTGTCCATTTTTGGCTTAGATAAGAAGAATTTTTTTTCTCAGAGGGTTGTGAAATTTTGGGGAATTCTCTACCCTGAGAGCTTTTGATCCATATTTGTTGATAGATATTTGGGCACTTAGGAAGTCAAGGGATGTTAGGATAGGGTGGAAAGAGCAGTAGAATTTCAGCCATGATTTTGTTGGTGAGAGGAGCAGATTCATTGGGCTGATTGCTCCACTGCTGCCCCTAATACTTATGCTCTTATGCGTTCTCCACTAGACTACAAACCATGCAGTGGGTGAAAAATATTGTGTAAAATATACAACACAATATTAATTCCAAAAACACAATCTTCTTTCTTTCTTTCTTCCTTACTGCAAAGTTTTCTCCATTGAAGACATTGACAACTTTTTCTGGCTTTCAGTTCCACAAATGCAGCTCATCCTCCAGTCCCACACTGGTGTGACATTTTGCAGTTATGTACCTAGGCATAGAGCATAGGCTACTTGCCTGGGAGAAGTTATATGTCATGGACCTCGATATTGTCCCCACTAATTTCTATGTATCTGTCTTTTCAATAGGAGTTAGTTGGTAGCAATTAGGAGTGTGGAACCTTGTGAGTATTTTCCTCACTAACCTGGGTGATTGAATCCATTTGTTGTGCCTTTTTGCATCTCAGCTCATATCAAGTAAATCAATTCAAAACTGGAGATCAAATCTTGTCTCTGTATGTCTCAGCTACTGACAGCTTTAATCAGCCAAGTTGCTCAGGAGCATAGAGCTATTTTTGTCTGTCTTCATTACTGTATAATCTGTTGGTAGATGTAGATAGGATCATGTATTCAAAAGGTTAGACTGAAACAAACTAATGCAAAATGATTCTAGAGTTCTTCCTAACTAAAACAAACTGCTACTTTAGTTATGATAGTGATTGAAAAAGACTAATGTTCCTCTGTTAAATTAGACACTTAGTTTTTCATTTCTCTAATTCACTAAAGAATAATATGTGATCATGCTACTGCTAATAGAGTTAATATGTTTAAAGATTTTTCACCAGAAACATTACTAATGCAGCTGTAAGGTTTTTGCCATTTCCCCTGCCTTTCATTTTCCTGCCCTTTATGGCTGTCCTAAGCAGCTTTTATTCTGTCTCTACCTGTTCTCTTATTCTCTCCCTAAGGCGTGGTGTGACGAAATGTATTCAACAACAATTGCCCAGACCTGTTTAGAGATGATTTACAGCACGTAGCTCCCTGAGTTTTCACTTAAATGAAGTTGCCAGTTGTCAGCCTTAAATCACTTCAATGTGGTTTTATTTTTGCCATTGTGGATAATTAAAGTCTGCCTAGATTTTTGGCAGTTTATGAGGGTACGAGTTACATACCTTCTAACACTGCAGATTTAGATAGGTGAGTCATCGTAAGGTTAAACCCACCTCCAGATGACCTGTTCATATCCTTCTGCTACCAATTAGTTACAGAGAAATAAAACTGTTCCTTTAATAATTTGACAGATACGCCAACCTTCACATTTAGAGATAAAATGTTTCAAGTGAGATTTGTGATGCCCAGCTTGTCCTGAGATGGGGCGATGTTTCTCATGCAGTCTTCACTCTCACCACAGTCATTATGCAAATTCACTTTTGAATTGCACATTCAGAGAGTTGGACATACTCACTACTGCCAGGACCTTCTGCTGGACATCTCTCTATTTAAAGGCCAGCTAAACTCCACTTCAGATGCTGCGCGCTAAGAGCAACCCTTCACACTGTGTTGTTTGAGCCGCTACATTTGGGACATAGCCTAAGACAAAGGGAAGCTCAGTCTCTCCTTCACTACCAGGGACCTGGAGGTGTTGATGGATGGGGTGGTGGAGGTTGTGGGTGGGAGAGGTAGTTCTTTTTCCAGCTGGCTGCCACAGGATGCCACACCAGCAGACCAAGCCATCCTGGGTAGAAATTACTGCCCAGGTTAGTGCTGTGCCCTGAGTGAAGTGGGAAGACCAACAGTGCAGGACGAAGTTGCTCCATGAGGGTTAGTGGCATCATCTTTTCCCTGCTACCTTACCCTCACAACGCCACCACTCCCTCTGACTGTGCAATATCAACAACATGGTTACAAAACCAGGACATGGGCTTGGTACAAAAACAGAAATTGCTGGAAAGGCTCAGCAGGTCTGGCCGCATCTGTGAAGAAAAAAAATCAGAGTTAACGTTTCGGGTCCGGTGACCCTTCCTCAGAACTGGCACTTTGCTACAAGAGATTCCCCCCGCACCCCCACCCCCTCCCCCCGATCTGCCCATTATTGAAAAGAATCAAACCCAGAGTGTTTAAGAATACTCACTATCAAGTGTGGGTGCATGAAATTGCAACAAAACATCTGAGAAGCTTGACACTAAACACCATCAACAGCAATCTCTATATACATTCAGAGAACTTCATTTCGTATCGTGTTTATCTTATTAGTTTTTTTAGCTATTAATTTTAGGGGACTGACAGGATAAGGGGCTGAATGGAATGCTTCTACTCTTATAACTTATGTTCTTAATATAATATTTTTAAAAAATTACTCAATATCATGATGTCACAGGTGAGGTGAATGAATAAATTGCATGCCAGGGAGAGCAATGGGCAACAGACTAATGCAGCTCTGGATGTATGTAATTGTCTCATTTCCACTTGATCATCCCACAGCCAGTCATGGAGCTTTCCATCCACAGCAAGACCCAATAGGAATGACATTCGTGGTGGTTATCAAGGTCCCTCAAGCTCCCTCATCTCTTACATTTGACACATCTTTGTGCATTTAGACTCATTGAGGTAGTCATCAGTTCCAAAAGGTGAGTCATTTGGAAAAGATTGTGAGGCTAAGTCTCACTATATTACCAAGAAATAGATGCCAAGTTCACAGGCCCACCCCATAACCGTTAGCAGAAATGGATAACTATACTGCAGAGAGTTCATGGGCAACTAAACATTTCTGACGAGAGAGCACTAAATAATTGAAAACTGTCAATTCATAACCTCCAAAACATCAGCAAAATGAAACTTATTAGATGTGGTAAATATGCACAATTCAAAAACATGGAAGATACAAATTTTTAATAGATGCAGAGTCATCACGGCTATATAAAATATCCACAATGTGTTTGCTGCACGTGATCAATGTGATTTAGAAACCATATGAGGTCCGTATGAGAGACATAAAATAATGGTATAGAACGGAAAAAGTCATGTAAATGGTGACGTTTCTGAGATAACAGATAAATGAACTCCAGCTCCTGTGTCATCAAAATATTATTTGCATTCTCAAGTTTCAAAACTCTTTTTTGAGGGCTTTTTGAGTTTCCAGCAGAAGTATGAAAGAACTTGATGCTAAGATGTATCAACAGCACCAAACATGTGCAATTTGTCAGCTTTTATTTGGTGTGCAATGAATGTATTACACGCTAATAGTTAGAGACATTAAAAACCCATTTCGAAAGGGGAATGAGCCTATAATTTTCCAGTACAGCTACCAATATGGCACTACACATAGAGTGAAGTCAATTGGCAAAATGTTTCACTATTGATAATCAACACTATTTCTGCGGAAAAACATTAGGCCAAAAGTTGGATTCTGGGAAAAGAAAATCCATGATATTGGGCCCAATTTAGAAATTTGTCAGCTCCAGAATCAATTGAAAGTTCCTGGCAACACTCTTGCACATCTCAATATTTTTACATTTTTGAGCAGCATTGATATGATCCAACAATAGCATTATGATGTAAATACGGCTCGGGATTTTTGTTAAAAGAAAACGAAAATATCCAGGTAATTTTCAACTTCTGGCTGTTCAGTTCTTAGCTCATTGCTGTCAACAACTTGCATATTGCAGTGTTGCAGTGTTCAGCCTATAAAAGGAACAGCAACTGAAATAAAGCTGCTGAATTAGGCAATTTGGGGTTCCTTTTGCAATTTTCAGGTTAAAATGGATGACCATTCACCATGAGCACTCTACTCTGTTATACCAGATGGTGAGTCCTTCTAGGACTGTTGTCACCTCAAAAATACTGTGGCCATCAGCTAACCTATGCTTCATGTTCCCCCCCACATACCATAGAAACATGGGAAATAAGAACATGAGTAGGCCATTTGGCTCTTCGAACCTACTCTGCCATTCAATATGATCATGGCTGATCATCCAACTCAATGTCCTGTTCCTGCTTTCTCCCTTTGATCTCTTTAACCCTAAGAACTGTATCTAACTCCTTCCTGAAAATATTCAATGTTTTGGCCTGAACCATTTTCTGTGGCAGTGAACTCCACAGGCTCACACCCTCTGGGTGAAGATGTTTGTCCTCATTCTCAGTCCTAAATGACCTACCCCATATCCCTGGTGTGTGACTTTTGGTCTTGGACTCCACAGTCATCAGGAACATTCTTCCTGCATTGACCTTGTTTAGTCCCATTAGAATTTCACTGGTTCTATGAGACCCGCCGCATTCTTCTAAACTCCAGTGAACATCGTCCTTCCCTATTTTCTCTTCACACACCAGTTCTGCACCTGCAATTGGGCACCCCATTGATCTTATCAGGCTGACTTTCTGTGATGCCACTAGCATGCCATGCTCACTCCAGCAATGGCGTTTGTCACATAAAGGCCAGCACTCCTATGATAATTGAGCCCAACATACAAAATAATTTGGGTGTTTGGTGTAACTGCTCCACTCCAGTGTTTTTGTTTGGAAGTTGATTTTCCCCTCTACTCCAACCACATTAATCTGTTTTTCCAACTCTGTCACACAACTCCAATCGAATGGATGCCAAGTACTCCATGGAAGTGGCAGTGAACCAGGAATCTCCCATGGCTTTTTTGGAAGGCCCTGCTATAATGTTCCATTTCATTCACCAGACAATATATTTTGAGTTATTCAGAAAGTTCAGGTGGAATACTTTTCACAACATTTACACTGTCTTATACTGAGATTCAGTTCATGTTTTCACCAAGCTAAAACAGCCCATTTAATGTCCTTTGATATTCCTTCTGTATAAAATTTTGGGAGATTCGTTAGGCTTGTGACACCACTCTAAGAGAAATCCTTTAAATTTTAGCTGGCTTTAAACTGAAAATCAGAATTTTTTTTTTGTCATTATGTAAAACTGAAATAAATGCTTGAGTGCAGTTCATGCAGGTGAATCAATATGAAGTTATTAAAAATTGCCGTACAACTGAAACTCCAGTCAAGTAAAGCCAGTAAGAAATTCTAATCGAAAGCCAAAAATAAAGTTGGTCTTTGCCACTTGTATTATAGACAGAAACCTTCTGAGTTAGATCGAAATAAGTGGAAGCTGTGCTTTTAGTGCGACAGCTTGTTTGACATGCAGTGCCATCATAATATAGAAATTTACTGGAGCTGAATATTTGACCCTTCTCAGGTCAATTATTCAATTATTCTACCAATTAATAAAACTAAATCAAAAAATGAAAGCTGATTCACTCCCGTTTTTGGAGAGGTGTTAGTGCATTTAAGGTACAGATCCAATCCTTGGCTTGGATAAATCTCATTGCATGCAAACAATCAATGCACAGAAATCAGACATTCCTACAGTTGTGGCACCATTGCCTAATGACATCATGGAAATGCCACGTGCAGATTTTAGCAGGTGTTACAGACAGTGGGATGCACTGATGATGACACCGAAAACATCCCCAGGCTCCTATTTCATTCATTATCTAGCCAGATACAAATCACAGGATGCATAAAAACGAACTTGTATAATGATTGTGCAATATCATACACAGCCAATGATTGACAGGTTGTTCCAAGCTGCTGGAGACTTTGACCTAAAGGAACACACATTATCTAGTGGTAAGAAACGAAAACCTTTGTTCTTGGGCTGTCTCAATGAGATCACAAAGCCAGTATGTAACTCTATCAGCATATTTCATCTTCCCACCAGCATGAACCACTGTAGATTTAAACTTAGTTTGCAGAAATGGTTTTGCTAATCCTAGTTAAACTCTCTTTTCAAAGAGGACTTTGTTTGCCAAGAGATGTTTTGCACTTTGATAAATGATAATGATGCTGAGGTCAACCATAAGACAACACCGTTTCTCTTCAAATCAAATTATTAGCAACTACTTCAGAACTGTGTATCAATATCAGTGTTAAATATATTATCAATCACTGTACTATTAATGTGCTGCCAGTTTAGAGGGCAATATTAAGAATATTCAATAGTTGAAATCAATCAGAAGGCAAAACCTTTTGCGCATGCTCCATGCAACTCCAATTGATTGTGTGATATATTATAAATGCTCAGTACAAATTTCAAGTCTCATACTTGTAAATGTTCTTTCTGTTGTTAGACTGTGTTGGCTACTCACCAGAACAATCATCTTCCATTCAGGAAGGCAACTTGGTTTTTGCTGCAGAAGTCAACAGTTCCACTCAATGATTGGCTGACCTCAGGCCTAAACAGGGTGAGTAAGGCAGTGTCACTTTTTCCTCTTATGAGTTGGAATGTCTCATTTCCATGCTGTACTCTTAGATGCCTGACAGATAACTGCCAGGAGTCAAAGTAGATCTCACCTCTGCATGAGTAGAAGTTTCCTCTGTGAGCAAAGTTGTCCAGGTCTTTGTAAAGAATAAATTTACAATGTCACTACAAATAGCACCCAGAATAAATCTTCCCTAAATAGACAGCACCTAGAGACAACTAAGTTGTAAAATTATGGGGGAAATTCTGGGGTTAACCAATAATTTTAAGCCCTGATTCCACCTCTTATAGTTTGATATCCTTTCATTCATATAACTGCCAAAAAAACATTCATACACACCTATTTTTATACGTGCTCACAATCCAAATTACTTTTTTTCAAACCTTTCTACCCTATGGGAATTCTTTCAAAATAAACTAGGCGTGCAACCATTTACAGTGCCTATTAGTTTGATTTATTGGCTGTATATAAGAAACTGTAGGAAGTTCACAGTTCTGTGGAAACCTAACCTTATTTGGGTTGTTTATGGTTAATTGCCTAGAGAAATATAGTCACAAAATCGGTAGTCAATTAATCAGTGTACGCAATCTAAACATTAACTAATGAATTGGTTTAGGAAGGTTTAGTTCCAACAATACCTTTGTGATCTTAAACAACTAGTATATAATGAATGGTTTTAATGGGAAGGATTTGACTTAATATAGTATAATTCAAAATAAAAGGTGACCATATAAAGCTGCCAAAATGGATATTTTACGGTCTGCCACACGGATATCTCAGCATGTATTCAACGCATTTTAATAAAACCTTCACCTAGAAAAGAATTGCAATAGACAACCTCAGAATGAGGTCATGCTTGTCATTTCATTTAAACCAGCACAAAGAAATCATTACCATGGCCTCTGATTAAAATGCAGCAGTAACAGCTCAGTTTTCCTAAACTTAGTTATTCTTCTGTCAGAATAGCCACATCAAGACTGTATTTTAATGTCATTGTGGGTCGCTGTTCATAATGCTGAGGGTTAGCAGAAACTAGAATGCTCTTGTACTTGTTAAGCAAGTGACAAAATCATGGATTCCAAGGCCAGGCATAGATTAAAAATATTTCCCTTTTGTTACCTTGAGAGTGCAGTTAACTGTGAATTTCAACTTGCCAGGTATATTTTATATGATAACTTATTTCCCTCACATTCACATTCTCCTGCAGCTAGCAAGCAAAGGGTGTGCATGGAGTTAGAATCTGTTCCAACCTCAAGCCACATCTGATTCTACTGCTAACGTCTTGGAAAGTCAGAGAGGTCATCAGTCCAGGCAGTGATTGAAAGTTTAGGGTCTGATGGCACTAATTTGATGCTACTCTAACTAAAATGCTCAGCAAATCTAAATGTAGCATCATTATTTTGGGGAGTTTTGTCGTGCTTCAGAAGGAAATAAGCTTATGATGTAATGTTTACAATTGAAATGCCAGTCATATAGTTCTAGGTTAGCAGTCAGTAGACAGCCTGGTTGTAAATCATTCTTGAATGCTGTTGATATTTAAAAAGCCCTTGACAGTGTGTTCTTTTAGTTTATGTAGTCAAACTCAGTAGTTTGCCATTTCAGATAATTCCATCCTCATTTCATACTTAAAGAGTTGTCTAGCCCAAAGTTCCCTATTAACTTCGCTGATGTGCAATCATTCAACAGTCACTATGTAGGGAACGACAGGCTGCGCACATGTAATGTTACCTTTAAGATATAGACCTGTGTGGCTGTGCATCAATCTTAAAGGGCCGATGAAGGTCAACAAGCCGGCTGTGTATAGCAAACAGAAGTAAAAAGGGACATTAGTCTGGCCTCTTGAAGATTGAGAAGAGAGTTTATTGGTCATGATTTACAGTTGTACAACATAAATTGTGTGTCATCTATGACTCAGCTTACTGGAAATTGAAGGAAATTCCCATTTCTCTAATAATCTGAAAGTTCAGAAGGTTAACTCATTTTCTTAACAATCAATATACAAGGTATCTTAATGGCTCTGTTGGTAAAGTTATAAATCTACAGTACAGTTCAGCTGTACAGAACAGAAGCTGCCAGATTTGGGGGAGAAATTCAGTCGCAATGTAGATTGGCTTTGATTCCCAGAGGAAATGGTAGTTTAGTGCACTGTTCTTCACAGATAGGTTGGAAATCATTGAGGAAGACACAAAAGGAACGGCTCATGGTGATCCCACTGAATTGAAGTAAGTCTGTATAGTGTTGTGAACAAATTATTCCTCCCAGATTTCTTGTCTAGATTAAGTAAGCTGATCGCAGTGAAAAGACAGTGGAGGTACTGCAATTTCCTCAGGCCCTTCAGACAAGGGCTAGTTTAGGGAACTATCTTCCAGCATTCTCATGCCTGGTCACTATCCTGTTACCCATCGTGAAAGTGCACCTTGGTGCCAAGTCAAAACAGAATCAAGCTCAACCTTATTAGTTGCCATTAACAAATACCTTTTTGCCACTGATTGACTGGACTGACATATAAAGAATGGCTATTTGGGCCTTGCACTGGAGGACAGCCAGTATCTTTGGAATTGTATCTCAGGGTGAGACAACATCTTCAGAATAGGAGCACAGGAAAGATTATCACATTGTACATTTTCTATTAGTGCTGATAAGTAGTTTTCAGATTTTCCGTGTGAGCTCAAAATGCAAAGCGGCGCCTGTGAGTTTCTTTAAAAATGCGTTCGTTTTTTAGGTCCTTTTTTGTGAGCACCCGCTAATAATTTCCTACAAGTCTGAAATACAGCTGAAGAAGGAAACCCAAACAAAAGGGCTACTGCAACTTGGAAGTGTTTTCTGAGTTTTTCACTTGGAAAACCTCCAAGAGCAGTTGGCTATGGACAAGCAGACAAAGAACCCGGAAGCCAATTTTACAGTGGTTTTCTTTCATGTGCTTTTGTCGACTGCATTGAATGATAAAAACAACAACAATTTCAGCTTTTAATCTGTTCCAGTCTGCACCACAACCTTCTCACAAAGTTCCCAGTGCGTTTTTACGATAATAATCAGAAATGATTGCAAAAACATGGACAACTGCTACAGCGAGGAAGGTTGCCATTCTCAAAGCACATAAAAGCATTTTGTGAAAATAAAAGGTGCAATTTGTAACAATGATTTATGGGGACACATATTTGTGAGTTTGGGGAGTTTTTACAATGTTTTGTGGGACTAATGCCTTCCATTGTATGATTATGTGTTAAACCCAGACTCTAAAGTTAAACTCCTTACTATTTAGAACACTTTAGAAGTTAATTGCACTGTATTAATGGTATTCTCACTTGTATATTCATTAAAGTGTAAATGCTGACACTGCCTGTCGTTGATAATTGCCCTTAATATTTGCTATATTAACTTGCCAAAATAACAGCAGGAAACAGTTATTAAAAACATCCCCACATTTAATTCTGGAAACACTACTTCCTGTAGAAACTGACTAGAAACAAGGCTCATTGCTTTTAACATACACCACATGATAGGGCCAATGATATGCTATAATCATGTTCTAGCCTTGGAAAATCTCTTTGCCTTTCCCCCACTACCTGTGTGCTTATATTCAGAAAAATCTTGATGCCTCATTCCATAGTTCATTTGCATTCAATGGCTGAGAAAAGGAAGGTTTGTCCTGAGTTGGGTGATATCAGTGGAAGAGCAATTTGGTGTTCTAAGCTATTTCTCCCATTTCTCTGAGCAGCAACCAAGAATTCAAACTCCTGATGACTTTCCAAGGACGTGCGCAGAGAGAAATCGAATGAGATAGGTTTGGGCTCACCTGTGATGTTATCTGGTGTAAAGTATTCTGAAGAGTCTCTGTCATGGCTCACAGACAAATAGTGGGTGATATACTTGAGGGCTACTGTTCCCATAAGAGCAGGACTAAATCCTATGGACCCTCAAGCTCGCTCTGACATTAAAGACAACTGTGGCTGTTTGGCTGTTTATCCCCTTTAACTCCATCCACCTGCACATTACTGATATCTCTTTATTCTTGGAGAGGTAAAAAATCCAATTAACTCAGTCATAAATATTTTCAACAAAGGAGCCACAAGAACTTTTAGGGGGAGAGAATCCCAAAGATTTGCAATCCTTTGACTGAAAAAATTCTTTCGCATCCCATTCCTAGGTGTTCGAACCATTATCTTGAGGCTTAATGTGTTCTAGGTTCCCTGCCAGACCAAACAATCAGCACTTTCAGAGGCTCCTGTGGTACAGTGGTACAGTCTCTGTCTCTGAGCCACAAGACTTGAGTTCAAGCCCCATCTACACCAGAGGTGTTTCATAACATCTCTGAATAGCTTGTTTAAAGAAATCTAACAATCAACACTCTTTTAAGTAATTAATATCGACTGTAAATTACTGAGGCCCGAATACTGATCTTGCAGCTTTCTGATCGTCTCAATTGCCAATGCCCAGCTTACTCTTTCTACTTCTGTCCATTAACATATTTGTAGCTTTCCAATCAACCTGTTCAGAGATTGTATACCAAACTCTGGAGCAAGTGGGACATGACCTTCAGTCCTCTGGCTCAGAGGTAGGGACACTACCGCTCATCACAAGAACTTCCTGTAAAACAAATCTCTATCCATGCCAATATATTATCTGACTCCATGAGTCCTTATCATGCTTCCAACCTTTTATATAACTCTTTATTCAATGTGTTTCATCAATATTAGTATACCTTTACCTACACTACTTGTTGTGTCCTCAAAAAACGTAAAAATAAATTTGTTAAACATAACTTTTCTCTCATCAAACCATACTATGATTTTCCAATGCAATATTTAGACATACATAATAATTGATGCTGGTATTTTCCTGACAACACATGTCAGGCTAACTGGCCTATAGCTCCCAGTTTTCTCTCTCCTGATTTTCTTGAACAGCAGTGTTACATTTGCTAACTTTAAGTCAGTGGGGATCTCTCTAGAATCTGGCGAATTGTGAAATATCAAACCAGCTCATTCATTATCTCTACATCAACCTCATTTAAAATCTTACAATGTAGTCTATCAAGTCCTGAACATTTGTCAGATTTTAATCCCTTAATTTACTTCAGTGCATTTCCTGTGTTGATATTCATGGCCTTATGTTTGTCACTCTTTTTAGTCCCTTGATTATTCTCTATTTCTTCTATACAGTTATGTGTTTTCTACGGCCAAAATATTTGTTCAATGACTCTTCCATTTTCCCTTGACAATGTCTTCACTGCTTCTAAAGGTTCTTGACTCTTTCGTGAAGATGCTTGGCTAGTTTATCCTCATCTTCCACATTTTTCCTTCATATCAACTTCTTGGTGGCTCTTTCCTGGTTTCAAAGACACTCCCAACCCTCAGACATACTACTCTCAATATTATAAGCCTCTTCCTTCAATATCCTTCCAAGAACCTCCACCACCAACAACGACCACCACCACCACCGCGCCTCCCCCACCCCGACTTCAATCTTCAACTAATTCAACTTAACTGTGCAATATTAAGAAACTGTTGCAGGCACTGGATACTGCAAAGGTTATAGCTCCCAATAACATTCTGGCAAAGTATCTAAGACTTGTCATCCAGAACTAGTCATCAACGTTCAGCACAATTTTCAACTCCTCAGATACTGGAGTCCAGTCAATGACCATCTCCAAGAAGAGGAAATCTAACCATTGCCCTCAACACTCAGTAGAATTATCATTGCTAAACATCCTACAATCAAAATCTTAGGTTTTACCATGTAGCAGAAACTGAATTGGACCAGCCATATAAATACTTTGGCTACAAGAACAGCTCAAAGACCAAGAATTCTGTAACTCTCCTCTTGTCTCTCTAGTGCTTTTCCACCATCTAAATGGCACAAGTCAGCTCCCTGGATGAGCGTAGCTCCAACTGCGCTCAAAAAGCCAGACACCATCCAGGATAAAGTAGTCTGTTTGATTGGCAACCCACCCATCACCCTTAATATTCATTCCCTTCACCATTGATGCATGATGGCAGCAATGTGTACCACTTTCAAGATCCACTGCAGTAACTCTCAAGGACTCCTCCAAAAGCATCTTTCAAACTGCCTGGAAGTAAAATGGTATTAGAGATATTAGGGATGTGCAACAAATGCTGGCCTAGCCAGTGACACCCACATCCTATGAATGAATAAATAAAAGAAATACTGTCTTTAACATCCTTAGTAAATCATGGATACATTTTTTTGTACTGGTTTTTGGTTTTCACTGCAAAGAATTATTGTTGAACATTTTGAATTGCTTATTTAAATGTTTCCCGTTATTTATTGCCATATCTTTTCATCTATTTACTCAATCAAGAATGGACAGAACTCCTATCCTACCTACCTTGGTTTTGTTTAAGTTTAGGATTCTTGTTTGGGACTAGAGGAGGTTGCGTACAAACTTAGTGTGGAATTCAATTGTGTTGTGATCATTTTTCTGACCAAGTCTTTTATTTTGAGCTTTTGAATTAATTCTGACTAATTGCACAATACTAGATCTAAAATAAAATCATCCTTCATCAGTTCCATAATGTATTATTCCAGGAACGGGTCACAAAGGTATCCATAAACTCATCTGCCAAGACACATTTGCCAGTTTGTTTGGAGTAATTTACTCGAGGATTAAAGGCCTCCATAATTATTACATTGCCTTTGTTAAGAGTTCCAACTATGACTTAATGTTGTATCCATTTGTTTAACTATTGTTAGGATGCTTGTAGACTACTCCCAAAAGTATTAACTAAGCTTTATTATTCCTAATCTCCACCTCCTGATCTTCTGAACCAAGATTCTTTCACACTGCTGCCAATGGAACTGCCAAAGCCCAACAATGAATGAAGGCCTTCACCACCACAAGGATAAAGAGAACCATAATTCAGGATAGGAGAAAGTAAACCTGATATGATCAGTAGTATGGACATGATATTGGCTCTGTGGTCTCACGTTAAAGGTAAATCCTTTTACATTTAAGTAGCTTAGCAATTAAAATCCTGGATTCACATTTCTTTGAAGGCTGCTCTGATGATTTATTCATAAATGCAGTTATTTTTGCCAGTTCTGTGCAGATCTGATGGGAGAGATCATCCGTGAAAAGATTGGCACTTGACAACTTTGTACACTAAGGAAAATATTATTTTCCACAGCGTGGTATCATTAAAATCAAAAGTAGAATTCTGGCTGTTAACTCCCTCTTCTTTCTGATGAAATATGATGCACCAAGACTAACAACTATAATAAGAAAAGAAATGTGGTAAAATATCAGCATAATCCCATTTCTTTTCGGTTGTTAAACTCCACACATGCTTCCCCACTGTACATTAACAAGTCATAGTCTTCCACTACTATCTAGCATGACCACCCCCCTGCCCCCCTCCCCATGAGCTGGAATTGTATTCCATTGGTGCTTGTCACCCTAATGTGAATTTCATATTTAATTGGGCTTTGTCAAATTCATGCATTGTCAAATGAAAGACTGGTTCCTCTGTCCTGTCTTGCTACAAATATAGTTGCCTTTGAAGCATTTCAGAGTCTTGAGTGCTTGGCCTTTCTAAATGAACAAAGTGAAAATACTCATAACTCATAATCCCTATGGTGTGGAAACAGGCCCTTCAGCCCAACAAATCCACACTGACCCTCAGAGCATCCCACGCAGAACCATTCCCCCTATAACCACACATCCCTGAACACTATGGGCAATTTAGCATGGCCAGTCCACCTAGCCTACACATCTTTGGACTGTGGGAGGAAACCTGAGCACCCACAGGAAACCCATGCAGACACAGACAGTTGCCCAACGGTGGAATTGAACCTGGGTCCCTGGCACTGTGAGGCAGCAGTGCTAACCACTGTGCCACCATGCCACCCTGAATAATTAATTAATATTAGGCTAATATGCCATTGTTTTCAGTCTGTTGAAGATAGCCTATCATCTGAATGCACAGTCTTTGAAATAAAAATATTTTTTAAAATTGGAAAAATGAATGCCTATTTCTGTTATTTTCTTTCCAAAATTCCGCACTGTTTTGCAGTCCTCCTTGGACATGCAGCAATTGTGTCTGAAAAGCCAAAAAATCAGAGAAAATCTACCCTTGGGCATTCTCTACGCAGCTCTGTAACTCAGCTACAAGGAGGTGGAGGAACAAATGCCATACTGTGTTTCAGTGTTATCTGCTGTTAAGTTCACCCAATTCGATTAGGTCTGCAATTTTAGCTATGAATAACCTCTTTAGCCTGTTTAGAATATTGAAAAATTGTAGTATCGCATTGCTGTCTGTAACAAATGTAATAATATTTGACAAAATTAAGTCATTCACAGAGCATCAAATAAATAGAACTGCAGTTTTCAATTGTGTTCCTCTAATTAAATAAACTATTGCGTCCAATCACCTTTCCATAGAAAGAAGGAAAGGTCTTGCATTGTGCCCACCGATTTTCTGAACAGCAACTAGCTTTTAGCATTCAAAGTAAAGGGACATTAAGAAAGTTAGACTATTGTTTTAAAACTATTGGAAGATGCAAACTTTGCTCTAATGTGACTCAAGAAAAAGTTGGTGTCAAAGTTGGTGTATGTTGGCTGCCGTTCCAGCGGCCCCTTTGTTGTATTTTCTTTCCTTCAGAGATTTATGGGCTAGATCAGGCTTGAGAACAAATGAAGAGTCGTTAGCACAATGTGTAATGCATACTAATGACAAGATACTGCTTCTGAACCCAGAGACCAAGGTCAGGTCACACAAATCTTCACATTAGATTATGAATTGGAAACTATAATTGTTCTAATAGTGTTTACTGTAAACTGTGAAGGAGCATTTTACATGAAAATTAGTATCAGGTATCTACTGATGGAGGTTTGAAGCAATAAAGCAGAAGCCAACACCAGTTATTTTGATTAACTTGTTTTGAAAATCAAGTGAATGAATTTGGTTTTCAGATTTTTTAAATGCACATTTAAAAATGCAGCACTACAAAGCTCTTGATCTGGTGAGGCGGGGGTCACTGGACTTGAAAAGTTAACTCTTTTTTTCTGTCTAGAGATCCTTTCAGACATGCTGAGTTTCTCCAGCAATTTCTGTATTTGTTTCAGATCTCCAGCATCCACAGTTCTTTGTTTTATTATACTACAAAGATCTCTGTGTCTATACAGAGTATATAATAATAAGCCAAATTGGCACTCTTGCATCTATGTCAGAGAACTTAGTCCAGGACTACATGTAATCTAGGTTTACAAATTAATTTCATATTGCAAATATGCTATGCGGTTGGAGGTTTTGTCTGATGTATGGATGTTAGACAACATCCCTATCCACCTATTCAGGTGAATGTAAAAGATCTCAGAACCATCACTTTGAGCGGAAGAGGGAAAATTGCTTATAATATCTTTGTCCAGCCTTTGTCCTCCAACCAACTCAGGTTAACTGGTAATTTATCTCATTGATGTTTGTGGAACATTGCTATGTACAAATTAGCTACTTTGTTTGACTAAGTTAGAACAATGAATCTAGCTCAGAAGTAATTCATTGGCTGTGTGGTATGCTGGGACGATTTAAGATTTTTTTGGGGTCTGACTTTAGCATTTTCTTCAAAATGCGTTTGGGCTCCCTGAATATCTGGCACTACAGGATTTCAATGATAAAAGAATAATGAGCAAACACATTAGCTCAATTATTATAGCCCCTATAGGTAACAGAATCTTAGTAACAGACATTGCTGTGACAGTTGTTTAACACATAGGAACACTGGTTAATTGTCAGACTATTTGAATTATTGACTCTTTTGGCCAAATCCTAGCACACAAGTGGTTAAGTCCTAAACTTTGTTTTTCCTTAAATGTTGTTTAACCAAACTTGCACTCATTAGTGTGTTAATGCCATACAGGAAGAGTTCTATTAACATGTAAATACTAGTTATATCACATGGTTTAAAGTTTTACTTTGCTAATTGTTTGAAACAGTTGTAATGTGAGCCAGATGAACTTCAAAAGATCTTTTTTGTACAAACGCAAGCACTAACCATGCTGTTCTGCCATTTACTGTGTTATCTGTCATTAGTGAGTTCAGTTTTTTTTGAAGACCCCCTTTTCATGTGGTCTAGTTAACTTGTTGCAACATGCACTTGGCAAGGCAGCTGTTTGGACCAAGGGCCAATACAATAAAATAAACCTAATTATTTTCTGCCAGAACATGCAACCACCCTGAGTTTAACACAAGATGTGTTCAAATCTGAGATTTCTGCCCTGACGCTGATGTGGATGTGAGGTGTTTTTAATGGGTGTTTAATTGAATGATACAGGAAACTTGCAAAGGAAACACACAAAAAAATCTGTGACCATGATGGTAAAGTGTAGTAAAACATTGCAGAAGGCTTGAGGTTGGCGAATCTTAACTCATTGCTTGCCGTTCCATCGCATGTTGCTTTACTTAAAGTACTAGAGAACACATAAAATTGAATTAGGATTTCCCATGGTTGAATGAGTGGCTAAGTGACGTGGTACTGAGACAAACTGATGTGAAAGATCCTTGATCTGGTTTGATCTCTCATCTGTGGCGAGCTAACTGATTTAAGCAGGCGTGTTTGTACTTGAGCGAAAATTTGCTTTTGCTGACGTAGGCTATAGAGGGAAAAATTCGGCAGAGGTCTTGCTGCTGATTGCGGCCCAGTTGGAATGTCAATTTGCACATTGGTGTTGCATAACAGATCAGCTCATCTATGGTGTTCTCATGGTCAAATATTCTGACATAAGTGCAATACAGTTGTTTGCAGAATAGCAATATGGTTTATATTTAAAAAAATAAAAAAACAACTATTTTATTGGCTAAACTCTACTTTTTAATGAATCACAGGCACAGACATAGAGGTTCACACAGGCTTTCCCAATTGTTCATTTATTAAAGACAAGATGCCACACAGATAAGAAGGCCCGAGGCTGGTTGTACTGAGTTGGCTTATCTTAGTCAGGACATAGTTATGCTTCTCCAATTGACTTCATCACTTCTAAGTGACAGAGAGAAGAAGTTAGCCAGTGGTTGTAATTCCTGATTTATAACCAATAAACCAGGATAGAAAGGCAACTATGATGCCTCTCATAGTTAACTGACCATGCCAGCCTCAGAATGTGCAAAAATTATGCTTATTTATTTGAAGTGCTGGACAATAAGTGTTATTCCCCTCATCTCTTCAGCGGTCCTTGGAATTGAGGCTGGCTTGCTTCTAGTTTTGTGGGTTTTGAGATGGCTGAAATTCCAATACACAACCTGCTGATTATGCCACATGCGAGGAAGGTGGTATTTGAAGGGTTGGGTAGAGATGTTGTTTAGAGGTTTGCGTGTTACCTCCAACATATTGGTTTCATTTCTGCACATTCCAATATGAGCCGCATCTATTTTAGTCAGTCATAAGAAATTGACTCCCTTGAGTTGGTGGGGACATTTGACTTCCTTAGGTATGCTTTGAAGATATCCCTAGAGTTATTTTCTTGCTGATCTCTTGGGAATCCCTTGCAATGACTGAGTTGCAAATAGAAAAGTTACTTCACATATTTGGTATTAGGTGTATGAATGACATGTCCTCCCAACAGAGCTTGTCTTGAATGATTAGCATCTCAATGCTAGAGATTTTGTCTTGGGAGAGGACATTGCTGATGGACCACTGTGTTTGGAGGATCCTGCAAAGACAGCATTGATGACATTTCTGCAGTTCTTTGAGGTGCCTCCTGTAGACTGTTCAAATCTCCAAAGCATGTAGAAGTGCGGGGAATCACCACTGCCCTGTTATCCATAGCCTTCATCTCAGGTTTGGTCCTCAAATACTCCTTTCCTCAATTATCCATTGTTGTGCGCTACTACAAAGAGTCAAGGAAATCAAGACAAACGGAAAGACGGCAATGTTTCTTCATAAAGGAATGGAACAAAACAAGTTCTGAGTATGTAAATAACAAAGTGTAGAGCTGGATGAACACAGCAGGCCAAGCAGCATCAGAGGAGCAGGAAGGCTGACGTTTCGGGCCTAGACCCTTCTTCAGAAAACGAAGAAAATTTTCTGAAGAAGGGTCTGGGTTCGAAACGTCAGCTTTCCTGCTCCTCTGATGCTGCTCGGCCTGCTGTGTTCATCCAGCTCTACACCTTGTTATTTCAGATTCTCCAGTATCTGCAGTTCCTACTATCTCTGAGTATGTAAATGTCAGCTGGGCTAATTGATTTTGAAAGTTACAAGCACATTCATTAGCTAATTGATCAGAAGGTTCTTGTGGTTTTCTGCACTCATCACTATTGAGCAAACGTTTGCAAGTAAAAGAATGTGAAATTTGATAGGAATCAGAGCCAGGAGCAGCAAGAGTGTTAAATGTGCTGCTTCAGGTTTACATGATTCAGGTTGACAA